GTATCCTTTTGATTTCGGAAAGTACGCAATACAAGTGCTGGTGGTGAACAAACACAGGGCTACCTGGGTGGTGGGCTAACTATACAATCAGATAGTACAGTTCTAACCTTTAAATGCACACGAGTTACATAAAGGGATAGAGAAGTTTATATCTACTCCTATTGCTGTTCATGATACTAGTATCACTTACACTCTATTGAGGTACAGAGCATAACCAAATGCACTGTATCCTAGTGCACAGAGTCTTCATGTTTGTGTAAAGGAAAAATAGCATTTTCTATAAACCCTAGATGTAAATAACAGGATATTACACTTGGAGAGAAAAAGAGGTATTATTATAGTTACTGATTTCAGTTTAATAACTTTGGAGTCAGGGCAAATATTTAGAAACATACACCAAGAAAAGAGACAATATAGGTATAAAAAATCTAAGATATTTCTAAGAAATCATAAGCAATTAATGTACTTGTATGGAAGGATATCTTATAAAATATATTTGCATAAGTGCACATTTTCTCTAGCATATTAATATAATGCATATATATATGTGTGTGTATATATATATATACTACAGATACTGAATGATTACCAACTTTCCATTGTTACTTTCTAGTATAATGCTATTTATGAAATCTAAATTATTTATTATTTCCTAAAAATCTTCTGATATTATTTTTTATTTATTTGTATATCAGTAACATTTGACTTGTAATACTGAAGACATATTAATCACTATAAATTTAAGGGAGATGGAAAGATAATAGTGAGAGACATTTCTCCTTGATGGAATAAAATCCTCCCTAATAATACAAGACTAGCATTTCCAATATTAAGAAATTAAATAAGCAGGTGGGCAATAGATAAAGCAGTAGATTTTACATGTAGCTTATGGATTTTTAAAAATCTTTTAGAATTTGAACATATAAAATGAGAATACTAGTCAACAAAGTATACTAAATGATATTTATAAACATGCATAAAAATATTTTAAAAAATTGATATTAGGGAGTTATGGGCTTCGCTGTGGCTCAGACAGTAAAGAATCCACCTGCAATGTGGGAGACCTGGGTGTGATCCCTGGGTTGGAAGATCTCCTGGAGGAGGGAGTTATGGTGGATATTATATAAGATACACATGTAAGGTTTTAGTATTAGTACATGGCTTATTATTCCTATAGTTATTCTTAGCTTCTTAGATATTCAAGAAACTATACCAATTAATTTACATTGGTTTTAATATCTGATTTAAATGAATTATATCAATTTTCTGTAAGGTAAATATTATCATATGCAATTTACAAGTGAGAACTTCGGTGCTCAAAAGTTTATACAGGTTGCTCAATTTTAACACAAACCTATATAAATTCAAGGCTAAGACTCTTTCTACTACTCTGTATTTATTCTGTGTAAGGCACTATGCTATGTCCAATTGGGTATATCATCTTCCTTTCGAAACTTTTCTGTCAACTCCTGTGATACTGAATTCTGTGGCTTTGCTCCTATTGCTCAAACACCTCTGTTGTCTGCACTTTTGACCTTGACTCTTCTAAACATAACCATCTCACACATTTCTGCCCTTTCTGACCTCGGAAGCTTCTTTGTTTCACTCGCCCTCATCCATCTTAACAACTCCAGCAAGTTTCAATGATCAACTTTCTGTTGCTAATTCCCCAAATTCAGTTTCTAGTTCTGCTTTGAGTTTCAGAACTAAAACTTCCAACAATCTGTGAGATAGCTTTATCTGAGGGCTTCCCAGGTGGCGCTAGTTGTAAAAAATCTGCCTGCCAATGCAGGAGATGCAAGAGACGTGGGTTTGATTCCTGGGCAAGGGAGATCCCCTGAAATAAGAAATGACACCCCACTCCAGTATTTTTGCCAGAAAAATCCCACGGACGGGGGAGCATGGCGTGCTACACTCCATGCGGCTGCAAAGAGTAGAGTGACTGAGCGCACACACACACACACACACACACACACACACACCCCTCCATCTCATTGATTTAGGTTGGCCATGTCTACAATGGCAACACATGATAACCAGGAAATAGCATTCCCTTCATAAACAAACTTCCCAAGAACCCCTGTCTCAGGCTCCCCCCGAGGATCTCAGACGCAATCCTGTACATTGCTTCCTGAGTCATACTTTAAAATGAAAATAATGTCATGAATTCTATGACTATGAAAGTGAAAGTAAGTGAAAGTCACTCAGTCGTGTTCGACCCCATGGACTATACAGTCTCCAGGCCAGAATACTGGAGTGGGTGGCCTTTCCCTTCTCCAGGAGATCTTCCCAACCCAGGGATCAAACCCAGGTCTCCCACATTGCAGGCATATTCTTTACCAGCTGAGCCACAAGGGAAACCCAAGAATACTGGACTAGGTAGCCTATCCCTTCTCCAGCAAATCTTCCCGACCCAGGAATCAAACTGGGGTCTCTTGCATTGCAGGTGGATTCTTCACCAACTGAGCTACCAGGGAAGCCCTTACTATGACTATGTAAGATGTTAAATAAGACAAAATTTTTGTTTAGATCAATTGTCTGACTTTTCTATAAGTCTAAAATTAATCAAAAATAAAAAAGTTAAGGGGAAAAAGTAAAAAAGTTCTTTAAAACTAAAATTGTGTTTGAACAGATTATGCCACTTTCCTCAATACCCTCAAATGCCAGAACAAAATCTTATCCTTAACAGTGTTTCAGGTCCTAGATGATCTGCCTCTGGTAACCTTGTCATTCTCACATATCCTATTCTCCATATGCTCATGTGGAGCACATGCTCATGAGAATATGAGCATGTGATAATAAGCTCATATGCTCAATCTCCGGTTGCTCATATGCTTCAAGGCATACAATTGTCCCACGGTATCCACAGGGAATTGGTTATAGGATCCTCTGTGGGTACCAGAACCCACTGATGAGCAAGTCTTTTACATAAAATGGCATATTACATTCAGCCCTCAGAATCAGCGATTTCAGCAAATTCAGCCTACCATGGATATAGAGGGCCCATTGTCCTAACATCACTGCTGTTTTTCTCGTGTGCTAGATTCATTCCTAACTCATGACTTGCATTCTTTCTGCTTGGAAAGCTCTTTCCTCACATATTCACATAGCTTACTATTTCTCTTTATTCAGTTATCTTCTCAAATATCACCTTTCTAGGGATGACTTCTCTGATAATCATAACTAAAACAGTACTTTCTCATAACTAGGCATCCCTCGTGTTTTTTTTTCTTTATGGTTTTTATATACATCTGACATGATGTATCCTACATGTTCTATCCTATATGGAAAGGTCAGTTTCATGAGAACGGAATTCTCTTAACAAGGGCAGGAACTATTTCTTCAGCATTTGGAACAATTTCTGGTACCAGGTGAGTCTTTAATTAGTGTTTGTTAAATCATTGACAAGAGACACATCTATATAAATGAACTTAATCCCAAGCATTCCTCCCTTCTGTAAGGGTAAAAACAATCTATTTGGAGGAAAAGGCAGAAGGTACATTAAAAGTATATATATATACATATATATATACCAACCAAATATAAAGTTGCTAAGAGACTTCAAAGCCTCACTGTTAAATAACATGTGTTATAGAAAACGTATGCTGTCCTTCTGATGCAGATGTAGTGGGTAGCAGCGGGGAGGGAGCAGAAAGCTCTGAGGCGTCTATGTTGTGAAAATGTTTTATTGAGGAAGGACTAAATTTAGACCTTACAAGACTGATAAAACTCAGGGACTTCCCTGGTGGTCTGGCGGTTAAAACTTGGTGCTTCAAATGCAGGGGCTATGGGTTTGATCCCTGGTTGGGGAAGTAAGGGGCTTCCCAGGTGGTTCAGCAGTAAAGAATCAGCCTACCAATGCAGGAGACACAAGAGATGCAGGGTGATCCCCGGTTGGGGAAAATCCTCTGGAGAAGGAAATGGCAACCCACTCCAGTATTCTTGCCAGGAGAATCCCATGGGCAGAGAAGTCTGGTGTGCTACAGTCCATGGGGCCACAAAGAGTCTCATGCAATTTAGTGAATGGGCACAGCACAGCGGGGAACCAAGCTTCCATATGCCGCGAGGCCAAAAACATTAGGAAAAAGGAGCAAAAATGATTGATGAGATTCAGCTAAGTGCAGAGAAGTTGGATGGCTAAAGTAGAAGAGGGATCTGAGAGGAAAATGGTGTGGGAGAAAGAACAGGAATGCAGAAAAAAAGCTGAGTTCTGAAGCAGTCTGGGAAGTACAGAGTGTGGACTGGGCTGATGGTTTAGATGATGTGCTGGAAAGGAGATTAAAGCTAGATTGAAAGAAGATGTGAATGACTTTCATACCTCTTTCTCACAAAAGTTATTTGCATGTTACCACTTCTCTGTCCATTTAGTCTCTTATCCTCTAGCAGTTTACCATCTCTCCCAATATTATTAACATATAGCTGTAGAAACATCCTAATACAGTGCTATAAACTGTCAAAATTTCATGCAGGTGAAATCCTAATAGCCTTATAACTTAGGTAATTTTCAAATAACATCCCCATAATATCACCAACAGTATGATAAGAACCTAAGGTTCAAGTTGGGAAACTATGACATGAAATGTTAATAAATTTTATAGAGTCATGCTATAAATTATTTTGTCTGCTTTCGAAAATGACTACGTTGCCAAACAGAACCAGAAAATATGGCAACACTATCATATTTAGCATACTATTTCACATGTTATTTTATGTTACTAGAGGGTAATTGCTTTACAATGTTTTGTTACTTTCAGCTGTGCAACAACGTAAGTCAGCTATATATATATACACACATCCCCTCCTTCTCTATCACCCCTTCCACCTCTCCCGTCCCACCCCTCTCGGTCATCACAGCACCCAGCTGAACTCCCTGTGGTATACCGCAGCTTCCCACTAGCTATCTATTTTCCACACTGTAATGTATAAATGTCAGTGCTACTCTCTCACGTTGCCTCACCCAGCTATTTCAAATTTTAGACAGTGTGGGAAACATATCATACCTGTAGGTCTCTGTAAATTCTTTTGTACTAAAATCCTTCTCAGAGTACCATCCATGGCCGCCTCTTCTATGTGGGAGTGGTCCCCAACGACGGTCCAGTACATCATCCTGAAGAGATAGGTCAAAGCTGATTAGCCTGGTGACGGTGCTGGCACAGCCCCAAACAAGGTCTGAAAAGATCTTGTGCATCCGAATGACCTTAGAGTCCCTGATGAAGGGACAAACTCTAAATGTACAGAAAGACCTCCAAGAGAAGGCCGTAGGAATCAAGGTTTTAAATAGTCATACACTAGTGTTAGTCTCTCAGTTGTGTCTGATTCTTTGCAACCCCATGGACTGTAGCCCACCAGGCTCCTCTGTCCATGGGATTCTCCAGGCAAGAAAACTGGAGTGGGTTGCCATGCCCTTCCCCAGGGGATCTTCCTAACTCAGGGATTGAACCTGGGTCTCCTGCCTTGCAGGCAGATTCTTTACCAGCTGAGCCTCCTGGGAAGCCCTTAAATAGTCATGTTGTGGTGGTGGTGGTTTAGTGGCTAACTTGTGCCTGACTCTTGCGACCCCATAGACTGTAGCCTGCCAGGTTCTCCTGTCCATGGGATTCTCCAGGCAAGAATACTGGAGTGGGTTGCATTTCCTTCTCCAGGGGATCTTCCTGATCCAGGAATGGAACCCAGGTCTCCTGCATTGCAGGCAGTTTCTTTGCCAACTGAGCTATGAGGGAAGCCCATACCGCCTACTAAAATTTGGGAGTTACTGTTTAGCAGGATAAACTGAGGTTCACTTGATTCCCAAAGCTCAATTTTGAAAATTTCTTTACAAGAAGAATATCTCTAACACTTGAAACCAGCTTCTTATTGTGACAGAATTCATTTTACTATGGTTGATACATCAATATGCTTTCTTTTATGATAAAAAACTATTTTCTCAAACAGAAATAATTTTCTCACTTAGAAGATACCACATTGCATAATTCTATTAAGTAAACAATTGTTTCTTTTTACTCATGATCTAATGATCCACTTTATGGATGATTAGGAGCTTTATTTAACATTTTCCTATTTCTTTTTTGGACAGTGCTTACAAATGAAAAATAAAATAATAAAAAAGAAATACAGATCAAGTAAAATAAAGGACATATTTATATTAAATTTTTAAAGTTTGTTTATACATATGCTTTCATTTTTTATCACCAGAAATAGCCAAAATCACTAATACTCTACACTTAAAATGGTTAAACAGAATATGTAGCATCTCAAAAAATCAGTTTCAGATTCACATTAATGGTTACACTTTTCATATCAGTTTCATTAATCTGAATGTACACATAACATATACAGACACTAAATGTATAAAGTACATTTATACAAATGTTCAGAGAAAAACACAAATTTTTCACCACCGTTTGGTATGAAAAGGACATGCTTTTGTATAGAAGGAGTAGAGGGATTTTCACAAGTCTTGTGACTCTGTTATATGTTGAACACTCATCTAGAAACAACACTACAGAACATAGGTGGGACAATCTCTAAAAATGGATAGTCATATCAAGAAACATCAATAACCATGTTATTAACCTACCCTCTTTTAGGATTTACAGCAATGGCATAGGGTTCTCCAGCCATATTTGTCAAGAGTCTGGTACAGTTGGGGCCACTCAGCTGCCCCACGTTGATAGAGTACCTCAGACTGGTCCAGTGAGTAGTGTAGTAACTGAACCAGTGCATTCGAGAATGGTCGGTCCAATAGATATTTCCAGCCACCCAGTCAACTGCAATGTCCCTGGGCCTTCTAAATTCAGGACACTAAAAGGAAACAAAACAACAAACCACAGTATTTTCAAAAGCAAATTGGTGGAGTTTTCTATATCTATATATTGAGGTTATTTGGGAATCATATTAATGTGATCAGGTAGGTATTAATTATTATATCAATTTTTAAATATACATTATTCTTACTTTTTATAGCTATATAATTTCATAAGTCCTAAGTATACAGTTCATTGGAATTTTACCTATCACTGCTCCTGTTTAACTACCACCCTGTTAGAATATTTCCAGAATTGTAGAAGGTTCACTTATGATGTCTACCAGTTAGTATTTCCCTTAGAATAAGCATAATTCTAATGTCTAACGTCATAGATTAGTTTAAACAAATCCACATAAACATCATTGTACTCTTCAATTCCTGATCTTTATTCAACATCATGTCCATGTATCCATATTGTTGTGTATGTCAGTTATTAATTGTTTTTATTTCTGGATAATATTTAACTTCATGAATATATATCAAATTGTTTACCATTTTACTGGCAATATGCATTTTGTTTGTTAATAATTTTAGGCCATTACAATAAAAATTATGAATGTTCCTGTATGTATCTTTTGGTGGACACGAACTCTCATTTGTATTGAATATTTAATAAGAAATAGAACTACTGAAGCCCAAGGTATACATATGTTTGCCTGAATAGATAGGGTTAGAATTTTCTTTCAAAGCATCTCTACTAATGTTCCCTTTTTTCAGCAATTTAATAAAGTTCCAGTTGTTCTGCATCCTTACCATATATAATTTGATTTAAAATAAAAAAAGAATGCTAATACAAATAGGCACATTTAGAGAGATGCTATATTAAAATGTCTTTTGAGGAAAGTTACAAACTCTGTCATTTATATTAAATCTGCTAGCTTGGATTTTCTGTGTAATAGTATAGTACTGAATTATTCTGAGACAAAGGTAAGAGATTTCACTGGGAATAGACAGCAAGGAAAATAACGTGTGCTCTGTGCCCTTCAATTAACTTGATCACTTTGAGCTGAAGCTAGTGTAATAATTAATTTGACATGATCGAGTTTATTGTGCATAGCCAAAAGTGAGAATGAATTCTCAGGGGTATTATATCAAGACTAGAAACAATTATTTGAAGGTGATTATAACTAGACATGTCATCAATGTGTAAAAGCATCGTTAAGACCTGGTTACAAGTGGAAACCTGGGTTTTTAACAGATGACTGTATCTTCTGTGTTTTACTAGTGAGCACATTTTGTTAAATTGTGCTTGGGTTAAAAGCAAACAGACTGAACTTCTCAAAAAGAACATGAGATGCCAAGAAATAAGAATTGCAAGTCACCATCTGCTGTGTGATTACTGAGATCTTAAGGAAGGAAAATATGGCTCAAATTAAACACAGAACCTTTAGAAATTTCTAATGACCTTTATTATCAGTCTTTTCACTGATTGATTTAAAAACTAAACTTTTGAAATACTACAATGCCTTATTTCTCTACTCTAATAGTAAATACTATCCATCTACCCAATGATAGCTCATAGCTACCTAAAGTTAAATGAAAAGTACTCTGAAATACAATACAATCTAAACATTCCATACAAATAATAATTATAAAAGGGTAAAATATAAAGATTTATCCTAGCCAAACCACAAAATAATTTTCAAGTGTTTCAGTATCATTTAAATTAAATGTAATTGCTGTTTTTGATTTGGCAGTATTTAAAAGTAAATTTATCAACAAATGGTATGGACACGTCAACGTAAATCTTAGATTTATAAACATGAGAGAAAATGGGAGAAAATAACCATTATGAATGGTATGCAGCCTTTTGGAGCATATTTATCTTTTTTAACACCACTGGAGCAATCTTTTACCATGCACTTTTACCCAGCATGAACATAGACGAATACCCTATTTTGCCTTTGGTGATGTTTGGTGATTTAGTCGCTAAATTGTGTCCTACTCTTGAGACTCCATGGACTGTACACCATGAGGCTCCTCTGTCCATGAGATTTTCCAGGCACAGATACTGGAGTGGGTTGTCATTTCCTTCTCCAGGGAATCTTCCCAACCCAGGGATAGAACCTGGGTCTCCTGCATTGCAGGTAGATTCTTTATTGATTGAGCCACCAGAGGAGCCCGAATTTGCCTTTATAAAATGTTAATATACTCCATGATTTTTCTGTCCTTGTGGCATCCTTGCTAAATAGGACATATTTTATGCCAAGTTCCACTTTTTTTAATTTAATATTTTCATTTTGTTTCACTCATGCTCAAAAAAGAGCTGGTTATCTTTCCACTCTATATTTATATTCCTGTTCTGCTAACAGTTAAAACCTCAAATTCTTAATGATCATGGAACATTCAGAAGTCTGATTTTGTGATACTTTTCAGAAAAGCTGGCTGGTGAAAATTCTATTAATGGTGAATTCCAAGAGGATATATAGAAGTTAGGTCACATTACTAGAATAAATGTTACTTTTAAATGCTGAGCACAAGATACACTGATGAGTTATAGAGCCATTTAAATCCACATAGTTATTCTCTGGTTCCTTGATCAAGGAATCTCTAATGTCATTCCCGTATCAACTAAGGTAGTTAGAATATGGAGTAAAGGATGGTCACACCCAATAAATTCAACCTAAAGTCATGAATCATCAGTGACAAGATGATTCTCAGGGAATGATGGCAACCAGGTGAAGATGTTACTAGGTATTCATCCTTAATGACTCATAACATACTGAATGCTCAGTAATTCTCATCACTGAAAAGAGCAAGATTGAACAGAAGATAAACAACAACAAGAAGAGAGAAACAAGATGGTCTTATTTGTAGGGAACCCATGGCCAAATTAGGAAATCACTATAAGTGAGTTCTATAGAAATACATAATCCAGCTCGACCAGGATTGCATTGAAAGTGAAACTGAAAGTCACTCAGTTGTGTCAGACTCTTTACAACCCCATGGACTATAAAGTCCATGGAATTTTCCAGGCCAGAGTGCTGGAGTGGGTAGCCTTTCCCTTCTCCAGGGTATCCTCTCAACCCAGGGATTGAACCCAGGTCTCCCACATTGCAGGTGGATTCTTTACCAGCTGAGCCACAAGCAAAACCCCAGAATACTGGGGTCCTTCTCCAGGGGATCTTCCTGACCCAGGAATCGAACTGGGGTCTCCTGCATTGCAGGCAGATTCTTTACCAACTGAGCTATCAGGGAAGCCTGATAGGGAGGATTGCATTAGTCATCTAAAAGGGAATCTCATATTGAATGAATGTTGGTTGAAGAGTGGAAGACAAATTGTTGGTGGGTCTTATGGAGAAGTTCAAAATCAATCAGGTAAACACAAAAAATGGGAAAACACAGGAAAAGTAAACTGAGGTTCTTGGCCTAGAATGGAGATTGAAATGAATAACCAAAACAGGATGGTTACACCATTCATCTTGAGAGAGACTGAAAAACAACCAAACACATCAGATTGGAAGCATGGAGAGAATATGAAACTCTAATTTGCCTCTTTGGCTCCCACTCTAGACAGAGAGACCAATGAACTAGAGGCGCTAATGCAGTATGTCATGTTTAAGAGATTGCAGAGGTGTGTGGTTACCCAGACAACAAAAGGCATTTCTCATTTTGTGGCACAAAGTAGAAGACACATTTTGATGGCTTTCTCCAGACAGATGATTTCTTTCCTAATAAGCTCTCTAAATACACAGACAAAGTTTTGAGGCCTGAGGCATTCTTCTTTATAGAGATATATTAGTTGAATGAATGAAATGCTTAAATCTTGCCCAAAAATTGGCAGCTTGATTGTAACACAATTAGAGGTTACTGCTTTAAACTACTAATCCTTTGCAGCTGCAGATTGTAAGGTATCTGTCACAGTGCCAGCTTCAGTAGACTAAAGATATGTCACTAAAGGCATTTGTTCTAAATCAAGGAAAGAGGAAAATCTATGAAAGGGGGATTCAAACATTTGAACTGAGGAAATCCTGTCTTTTTTAAAACAAAATTCCTATAGTTAGCTATATAATTTGAAAAAATATAGTTAACACAAGGGTAGATTGAAGTTGCCACATATTTCATTTGTTCCTGATTTTTCATCTTTGTATAAATACCAGAAAATTCAGTCCATTTTGATAAAGTTAATTATCCCCTGATGCAATGCTAGTAAAACACAGATATAACAACACTGTAAAGAACTTGTGTGTGTGTGTGGTGGGATGTGGATGGGGGTATCCATATGTAATGATAAGATTATTTACATTTTTGGTTCACAAAATGTGAATCAGATTAAATTCTCATAAATTAGTCAATACCACATTGCAGGCAGATTCTTTACCATCTGAGCCGCCAGGGATACCCAAGAATACTGGAATGGGTAGGAATCGAACCGGATCCTCCTGCACTGCAGGCATATTCTTACGAGCTGAGCTACCAGGGAAGCCCAATAGTAAAGTAAGGACTACACAAATTCTGAACATTACTAAATTCTATGGCTTAGTAATGGTCTACAATACCTAGATAATTGTTACTTCAATCAAGCTCATACAGCAATGGAGAAACCCTCCCCCCAAACCCAAAAACGTTATGTTTAAGAGCTAGAATATGTACGAATTCTAAAACCACTTCAGGGATGAAACTTCTGCTTCTATCAGCAATCTATTCTTAAGAAAAGATTATTTCAATCTGAATATTTTTAAAGCTTAATTGAAAAGATGGTTTCAATTTTAATAATTTTATTACAGTATGTAGTATTTATCTACACTAAAGTGAAAATGAAAGTGAAGATTGCTCAGTCGTGTCTGACTGTTTGCAAACCCATGGACTATACAGTCCATGGAATTCTCCAGGCCAGAATACTGGAGTGGGTAGCTTTTCCCTTCTCCAGGGGATCTTCCCAACCCAGGGATCGAACCCAGTCTCCCACATTGCAGGCAGATTTTTTACCAGCTGAGCCACTAAGAGTCTACACTAGGACTACATCAACCTGGCATAAGGTCTGTCATAGGAAAAG